GCACCTGAGTAGATTGGGTTGTGAACAGGGGGTTTGCTCTGGAGCTGGAGACAAGATAATGGGGGAAGTGTGATACCTTCTGAAGTATTTAGAGACATAGGAGAGGATGAGCCAGGTCACTTAGGGATTGACTCTGACATAACTGGTGCCCTGATCTTTTCTTTTTTTATACTAAGTATTTTATTTGTATGCTGCTGCCAGTGTATATAAAATAATCACCCTTGTGGAACAGAAATTCATGAAAATTCAGAGAGGCAGATGTTAAGGACTGACAGAAGCAGAAGACTGTATAGTATGGCACATTGTAAGGTAAGTATTTTATACAGGCTTCCAATTTAATAACTCTGAATAGTCATCAGTTCAAGAAAAGTCGCTTAGAACACCATCAAAGATTCATTTCACTACAAAAAGGAACAGATTTTCTGGGGTCTGAAGGGATTGGTACTTGAAGATACTCCAGTCAGCAGGGGTCATGTTGAGCATTCTGCAGACAGAATTGTTTCAAAGCTGCAGCTGCCTGGGAAACTTTCACGCGGTTGAGCCTGGTTTCCAGCCTGGTTTCCAGCCGGAGCTGTTGAACCACTTTCTTCATAGCGGTGACGCTGGAGGAACCAGACATGGTCGACGCAAGAGCCGGACAGGTTTTGCCCTGATCTTTTCTATTGGAAGTGACTGTTTTGAGAGTTCAACAGCCAGCACCTGTCTTGTATCTGAGGCTACATTCAGGACTGTGTAGGTTGGAAATGCCTGGGAATTCATACTTTCATCAAACCCACCCCCCAAAAAACGGATAGAAGTTGTGTAGAAGTACCCTAGTTCCCTCATCTTTTGGGTGGGCTAATTCCAAGGTGTGTGCACCCAGTCTCTCTGATGGTGAAGCTCCAATTGCCCACTGTGGCAGCTGGCCTGAGAACCAACCTTTTTGCTACCTTCTCTTCCTTTGTGTCACCACTCACCATACCATACTGTTGTATGCACCTCTCAAATCATCAACCTGTACTCAAGCCCTCGTTCTCAGCATCTCCAGGGAACTCAACTTGCAATGGGGCTGTGCCAGTGATGAGAGGAAATACTCTGGAAAGAGATGCACAAGGGGTGATAAAGACCATCACAGCTGGAGTCCAATCCCACCATTCCAGCTCTGAGTGGTGGGTGGGATGGGTATGGCATTTGTCCTTTCATCCACAAAGCTTATCTGAGCCCTGCCTGGCTGCCCCATTCCAGGTCATCTCAGGATGCTGAGGTGACCAGGATAGAGTCCCTGCCCCCAATTGATTCTACAGGAACTACTGGTCAGATTATGTTAGAGCAGGGTCTCCTCCTTGGCACTGCTGACACTGGGGCTGGGTCATTCTCTGTGGGGGTGTCCTGGGCACTGTGGGGTGTTGAGCAGCATCCCTGGCCCCCACCCACTAGATGCTAGAGTACTGACAACCACAGATGTCCCCAGTCATCACACAGTAGCCCCTGGGGACAGAGTCACCTTTGTGAAAACAGTTGTGTTGAAACTGCCAGTATGGCCACGGGCAATCTCACCACCTTTAGGGTTGGGTCAGTGCCTGCACTGAAAGCTCTCTCTCTCTCCACCCCTTCTCCTGCTTTAACTCTCCCTGTGACATGACCCCTGTGTAATAAATTACATCTTGTCAGTTCATTATTCACTGCCTTCTCTAGAACATGAACTCTGTGAGGACAGGGATCCTTATCCAATCTCTTGGCTGTTATGTCCCCAGCACCTGGATGAGTGTCTGTTATGAAGTAGATAGATGCTTAATAAACACTAGTTGAACAAAGGCGTGAGTGGATGAATGAGTAAAGGGTTACAATGAAGGAAGGAAGGAGGGGAAGGTTTCCTTTCTGGCTGTGTGGGGGATGGAAGATCAAGCAGAGGGTCAATCCTAAATGGGGTGCATGATCATCTGGTTTGCCTGGGACCACAGGGTTTCCTGGATTTCCAGTCCCAAGACTGGTACAGTGCTGAGCAAATTGGAATGGTTGGTCATCTTTCCTAACCACAATAATAACTGCAACAGCAAATGACTTCTATTGATTAGGCACTGTTCTAGCACTTTCGATATTAATTCACTCAATCCTCACAAACATCCTGATGTCAGGACTGTTAGTAGCAGCTGTTTGTCAGAGGTTAGGTGTTTTACCCCATGACCAGACAGGAAAGCGTGGGCCAGGACTGGAATTCTGGTAGCACAGGGAGATATAAGGCATATCCTGGGACCTGGCCTTCTTGGGGGAAGGTGCAGGAAGGTTCTGGAGAAAATGAGGGGAGAGCAAGAGTGACACCAAACAGAGTCTAAGGAAGAATATTCTATGCAGGGGAATAACACATGTAGATAGCCCTGGGACCAAGGTCACACTGGGCTAGTGTTTGCTTTGACATCCCTCAAATGGGGAGGGAAGGTGAGGGAGGACATGGGGAGGGGTCAGACAGGAGCAGCTGCTGTGAGCTGCTCTCTGGTTGGTTGCCTGAGCCAGGGTCTGAGAGAATCTTGGGGGTTTCTCTGCAGAAAGTGGGAAGAAGGAGAGATAGAGGGGGAGGGAGAAAAGAGGAAGAGAGATGAAAGAGGAGGGAAGGGGTAGAAAGATATAGATGGGGAAAGAGAGACTGAGGTTGAGGGAAGAGAGGGAGGGGGAAAGAGAGAAAGAAGAGAGGAGGGAAGGAGAAAGGGGGAGAGGTGAGGGAGGAGGAGAGTTTCCTAAGGCACTGGCTCCAGCTGTTGCTGCATCTTATGGGATGAAAGCTTAAAATAGCTCCTAGTGCAGGGAGCCTGGGAGCCAGAGAACCCAACTGACTGGCTCTTCTCCCTGGTAGGAGGAGGGGTGGCTCTGAGCTTTGGGTTTCTCAGGCTGGGAACGGGGTACTTAGAAGGGACAGAGCAAGGACCCCTCTCTCTAGGATCTCCCAGGCCATCCTTGACTCACAAAGCTGAACCACTCTCAGCTGTGAACATCCCTGTGTAATCCCTTCCCCCACCCCATGGTAACCACTACCCTGATTTTAACCCTTCAGTCAGTGGGACCTTGGCTGGGACTTCACAAATGGAAAATGCCACATCTTCTCCTTCAGATCTGGTCCCTTCCCCTCAGCATTGCTTGTAAGAATCACCTACAGGATTGTGTGTGCTGCTGTCAGAACCCCACAGGGCTCCATTTTCAGCCTCCCTACCTCAAGCCTGTGTGAACTTGGGTACTTTGCTGCATATCTCTGGCTCTGAGGCACCTCCCCTGGGAAAAGCTGCATCATCTGCCCTCCTGGGCAGTTGTGACACTTAAGTGAGATACTGAAAGGACAAGTGGTTGGCTCCCTACCTGCACAGAGCCAACATACATATATAGTACATATACAATATATTTACACACATATGTACACATATACAATGTATATACACATATATAAATATATTGTTGGCATAGAGCCATGCTCAGTTGTCATAGTCAAGTGGCTGTGTTAGTCAGGATGTCCAAACAGAATCCATGGAACGTGTGTGTACACACACATGTAAATATATAATACATATGCACACGTATATATGTGTGGGTGTGTAATATATAGTATGTGTACACATCTACAATACATATACAATATATCCACATACATACATACTATATATACCTATACATTTGTAAAAGTGTTTATGTATAGTATATATGTATAAATATATATTCATACCATGTAGAATATAAAAAATACATGGGTGTGTGTATGTTTACATGTATGATATACACATGCATACCTACATAGTATACATGTGCACATATACATATATAGGTGTGTATATACAGTATGTTTACATGTATAGAAAGTACACATACCCACATATACACTATATATACACACATAAGTATGTGTGTATATTTGCTATGTATACACATGTACACACACTATTATACACATACATATATAGAGTTTTATGTCAAGGCGTTGGCTCACCTGATGGTGCTGCCATCAGGTCAGAAATCTCCAGCACAGGGCCGCAGCTGGAAACCCAAGGAAGAGCTGATGTTGCAGCCGGAGTCCTCAGGCCTTTGGAGGCAAGAAGTTTCCCTCTTTCTGGGAAACTTCATTTTCTTAAGACCTTCAACTCCCTAGACGAGGTCCACCCACAGTGTGGCGGTCACAACCTCCTTTACACAAAGTCGGCAGGTTTCAGTGTTAGTGTCATTTGAAAAATACCTAGGTGCCACATCTGGGACAAAGTATGCGGGCTTGAGGGCTAGCACAGTGAATACTAAGATTAACCAACCCGTGGCATTTATGACACTTGCCTTATCTTTCCCCATGACTATTGTCAGTTAAACCGGCAGCTGTGTGGGCAGGTGACTTCTTCCTTGCCAGCACTGAGTGGCCAGAGTTTGGGCCTAGCAGATACTCAATAAGCAGCATTCCTGTGAGTTCTGAACTTCGAGCTGGAGCGGAGGTCTGGACTCCGGCCATCATACGTAATAAAGAATTATGGTTTTATTATGGGGGGAGGGCCCCCTTCTTTCAAGGGGGCTCGAAACCTTCACCCCAGGCCCCGCGGGGTCCCCCCGGGTCCCCGCTTCACCCAGCTAGGGCGGCCGAGGACAGCGGAGGCCGCGCGTGCGTGCATTCGTGCGGGAGAGTCCATGGGGAGGGACGTCAGGGGAGGCGCGCGCGGCGCAGCGGGCGGGGCAGCGGGCGCGCGCCAGTGCCTCGCGCCGGGCCCCCCCCGCGCGCGTGTGGCGATTGGTTCGGTCCGGTTCCCGGCTCATTGTGTTCGCCTCACGCCGGTCCAAGATGGCGGCGGCGCTGGAGGCCCCGGTCCTGTGACTACAAAGAGGGAGCCGGGGGCTGGACGGGAGCGCGGCGGCGGCGGCGGCCGAGGCCCAGGCCGGGCCCCCTCCCCTCAGCCTCCCGCCCTCCCGCCCGCCCTCCTTCACTCTCCCGCCCCGCCCCCGCCGGCGGCGTCCCGCCCCTCCCCCAACCGCCCGACTAGCATGGTGCGGCAGCCGCGCGCGCCGACATGGGGGAGAAGCTGGAGCTGAGGCTCAAGTCGCCCGTGGGGGCCGAGCCCGCCGTCTACCCGTGGCCGCTGCCGGTCTACGTGAGTACCGCCCTCTCCTCCCCTCCTTCCGCCCCTCCCCCCGGGACCCCCGCCCTCCGCAGAGCGTGTTGGGGGCCCACCGAGCAACGTAACGACTAGATTCCAAAAACACTCCTGGGGACCCCCCATTCTTGCCTGCCGGGAGTCTCTGCAGCCAGACCCCGCGCCTCTGAGAGGTGCCCGAGACTGGGCTACCGTTGCCTGTGCGGGGCTGGGACCCCGGTCCCCCGGGCCCGGGCGACCGGCGAACTTGCCTTCCCGTGTTTATGTTCTGACATTCAGGGTTTCTTAATTGCTTTCTTTCTTTCTCTTTTTGTAGTTTATTCTTTGAGCTGTCAATGGGCTCAGCTTTATTTTTATTTTTGAGGATATCTTTTTCTTCTCTCCCCTAGTTTTTTTTTTTTTTTTTTAAGGCAGTTCGACCCCCGAATCTTGAGTGGTAGGACTGGCCGGATCAGAATGAAGCATTCTGTCCAGTAATCTTAAAAGGGTGGGCTGGCCAACCCCTTGGAAATTAGGCATTCTGTCCCCATAATTCTTGAGTGGGTGGGCTAGATGGACCCTTGAAAATGAGGCATTCTGTCCAGTAATCTTGAGTGGGTGGGCTGGCCGGATCCTTAAAAATAAGGCTTTCTGTCTCTAATCTCCAGTGATCCTTGGAAAATGACAGGCCGAGCGGAAATTTACAAAGTTGTCCCCTGGGTGATTCTAGAAATGCAGGGTGCGGGGTGGGCGCTTCGTCCTCTCGCCCTTGAGTTTGGTGTAGTGTGTGTTGGTGTCCCTGCGTACACGGTTGGGCAGGGCAGCAAGCTGTTGGGAGGGAAAATGTAGCAGGCGCCATGGGCCAGCGCCTTTGGGCGGCCTTTGGGGCGCCCTTTCGCGCGCGGGTCTTGCGGGGGCTAGACTGGGAGGGGCGGGGCCTCCAGGGGACCCAGCGGGGAAGCCCGCGCTCCGCCTCTCGCGCACCCTTGGAGTGTGTCAGTTTTTGGAAACGTTGTGCCCCAGGGCGGGGTTGAGACGCAGGGACCGAGATGCAGGGACCGCCTGGGAACTGGTGTCGTCCGAGGGTTTCATGGTTTCCAGCCTGCCTTGCACATCGTTGCTTTAGAGTTTTGCTCATCCCTCACCCGGAGGTGAGGTCGAGCCTGGTTCTGGCTTTTCCGGTTGGGCAACTCCGATGCGCGTCCTGCGGGCGACTTGAGCAGTGGACAGGGCTGGGAGCCGTCCAAAGCGACAGGAAACAGTGGGAGAACCTTCAAAACTCCAACTCTTCTACCAGTGTCTGTGGCTGCCCAGTGCATTGTTTAAAATGAATTATTTATTTTATTTATTTATCTTTTGTGGCATGTAGTATAATTCACTTTTTTTAAGGTTTTTTTTGACAGATCCATGGTAATCAGGCTACAGAACAATCACATCATTCCTCAGTGTCCCTTCTGCTGCTCTTTGCCACCAATTGCCTTCTCACCTTCTGACAATCACTGACCTCCTCTCTATACTTACAGTTTTGTCTTTTCCAGAAAGTTGGGTCAATGAACTCAACAGCACAGAGCCTTTTGATTGTGGCTGCTGCTTCTCAGCAAAACATACCTGAGATTCATCCATGTTGTAGTGGATATAAAAGTAATTTCTTTTGCCCTGGCTGGTTGCTCAGTGGTTAGAGCATCGGCCAGGGGACCAAAGAGGTGCAGGTTCTAATCCGGTCAAGGGCACGTTCCTGGTTGCAGTTTGGTCCCAAGCCTTGGTTGGGGTTGTGTGGGAGGCAAACAATTGATGTGTCTCTCTCACATCGATGTTTCTCTCTCTCTCTCTCTCTCCCTTTTTCTCCCTCCCACTCTATCTGAAGATAAATGGGAAAAAAAGTATCCTCAGGTGAGGATTTAAAAAAAAAAGTAACTCCTTTTTCTTGCTGTCCTATCCCAGTTTTTTATTGCTCCATTAGGCTGTCATTGGCAGGACACGGATATTTCCAGTTTGGAAGGGGATTACGAATAAAGCCACTCTAAACATCCGAGGGCAGGTTTTTATGTGAACTTGAGTTTCACCTCTCTTGGAAAATGCTTAGGAGCAGGAGGTTGTGCTGAGTGTACAATTAACATTTGTGCACCTTACAAATTAGTATTTTTGAGCATGGAACGAGTTAAAACCACCAAGACCCAGCATCCAGGCATTTTATACTAAGGTGAAAATTGATCCAGAGACACTCATCTTGTTTCTATCACCTGCTTTTATTCGGGTGGAGCAAGGCCACAGGGATTTGTAACCCTTGTAAATAAGTTCTCCTGAGTTGAGACCTGGCTTTCTAGTGTTGAATGGTTTTGAACTACAGAGTGTCTTTCCCTTGCTGGTCCTGGCCTCGCTTGGCCGGGGATGGGGGTGTGCTGTCCACTTGGCCTGGTGCACCACCTGATGTCAGCAGGTCCCTTCCTGGTGTGGCTGTTCCACTGCCCAGGTTAGCCCAGTGAAATTCTCAGCTAGCTGCCAGGGCTAGCAGCAACTTGACTTTTCAGTAACTTCTGTCAATCTTCCATTTCCCCACTGAGAACTTTAGGTTTTCACGGAAAACGAGGGGCAGTACTTAGAGAGTTCATGTTTTGTGATGACTCAGTGATGACTACATGAAGAAAATGGACTTTTTCAGAAGCTTTACTTTTTGGAAGGTCAAATTACTCATGTGACCACACATTTGAAATGACTGAGCTTGTTCACTGATTCATTCCTTCTTAGCACGTCCTGATAATTTGCAACATTCCTGGGGGTCACAGAGGACAGTAGACAATGTTCTTATTCTCAAGAAACTTATAGATGAAGGAAGGTGAGTGATGTAAAAGCACAAAAGTTAGCAGAGTTGTAGTACCCATGTATATAGATAGGGTTAGCTGAGGTTCCAGAGGGAGGAGCTGCCACTCTTGCCCTGGGGGAGGTGTGGATAGCTTCTCTGAGGAGGGGCATCTGTAGGAGGAAGTGCAAACAGCCACAACTGCCACACTCAGAAATGTCCAGCCTCGGAAACTGGCTTTTGTGCAATTGACAAACATGATGGGAAAGCTGGGCACATTCTGTTCCTTCGGTGACCGAGTTTCTGATACCCACTTGCAGTTCACAATGGCATCATTTTTAAAGCAGGATGGCCCTTCTAGAGTGGGAAACTAGGTCTGAACTCAGAAGGGAGTAAATGGCATCTTGGGTTGCTGGGTGGCAGGGCAAGAATCTTAGAGAGGAAGGCGTGCAGGGGTCTTTTGTCTGGGTGACTTAGTAAGGCTGTGGGCGAGGGAGCAGCCTCAGCGTGACTGTCTCCACCCTCAGCTTCCTACTGGGAGCCCACTATTCTCTGATGAGTGCCCTCTGAGCAGTCATGCCCTTAACACTGGCAGTGAGTAATAGCTGAGTGGGCAGGCCAAGTGAGCCAGCCATCCTGTGACTCAGAAGATATTTTCTGATCTGACCTCTGTCTGTGTGAGTCCTGCCTAATCCGAGTTCAGGTGGAAAGCAGATTAACCCTTCCATGGCTTCTTGTGGGTGAAGTAGCCAATTTAAAAGGGGAAGGGGCCCTGGTTGGGTAGCTTAATTGGATAAGGCATTGTTCCTATATACCAAGGTCTCGGGTTCGATTCCGATCAAGGGCACGTAACTAGGTTGCAGTTCCATCCCAGTCAGGGTCAAACAGGAGGCAACCAATTGATGTCTCTCTCTCACATCTATGTCTCTCTCACATCTATGTCTCTCTCTCTTTCTCTCTCTCTTTCCCTCTCCTTCTCCCTCCCTCCCTTCCCTCTTCCCCTCTCTCTCTCTCTCTCAAAAAAAATTTTTTTAAATAATAGTAACGGTAAAAAATAAAAGGGAAAGGGATGATCAAAAAAGTCTGGTGTGCCCTGGCCAGTTTGGCTCAGCGGTTAGAGCGTCGGCCTGCGGTCCGGAGAGACCCGGGTTCGGTTCCCGCTAAGGGCACGTACTTCGGTTGCAGTTTGTCCCCGGCCCTGGTTGGTTGTGCGGGTGGCAGCCGCTCGGTGTGTCCCTTCACGTCGATGTCTCTCTCTCTCTCTCTCTCTCTCCCTCCCCCTCTATCTGTACAAAAAATGGGAAAATATCCTCGGGTGAGGAAAAAAAAAAAAAAAAAAAAAAGTCTGGTGTTCCACATGTGGCTGTTAGTTTTCATACTCTAGTCCCTAAAATCCAAATGCCTGCTGTCCTGATGGATGGGAGCTGGAAGGAGTCAGAAGGGCCCTAGGAACTTTGGGCATTCACTAGGGAGGAGGAAGCAGAGCTATAGGAGACCCACCTACCCAGTCTCCTAGGACCTCCATCCTTTTTTTCTTTTTTTTTTTTTATCCTCACCCAAGGACATTTTTCCATGTTTTGTTCAGATAGAGTGGGAGGGAGCGAGAGGAAGGGAGAGAGAGAGAGAGAGAGAGAGAAACATCGACATGAAAGGGACACATCGAGTGGCTGCCACCCGCACGACCAACCTGGGCTGGGGACAAACTACAACCGAGGTACATGCCCTTAGCGGGAACTGAACCCAGGTCTCTCCGGACCGCAGGCCAACGCTCTAACCACTGAGCCAAACAGGCCAGAGCCATCCTTTTTTTCTTAATTAAACTTTTTATTTTGAGATGATTGTAGAGATACCCCATGTTCTCTTTACCCAGTTTCCCCCAATGGTGACATCGTACACAATTAGAAAATACTATATAATTATATTTATCCAATTCCAGAAACGGTGTCCCTATCAGTTGTCACTCTTATTCACCTCCCCAGCACCCAGCAACCACTAACCCCTTTCCCATCTCTGGACTTGAGTATGCTAGACATTGCACATACATGAAATCTGGCTTCTCTCAATGAGCGTCATATTCAAGTTTTACCATGTAGTGAGTGTCAGTGCTTCACTCCTTTTCATGGCTGCATAATATCCCCCTATAAGGACAGGCCAAGTTGTGGGTTCTTGAGGCCCTGGTGAAGCATTCATTTGGTCCTCATACTGGGGGTGGGGGTGACCC